ACATATATGTACTTATGTATAAGCACCTGTGGAAATATCCTTCCACACTAATATTGGGCTCAAAAAAGACACCAATATTTATACACTTACTACTGAAAACTGAAAAAAATGGGTTCTAAGTGGGGAAATTTTATACTATAACTTATCCAAAAAGTTGACATTTTTTACTCAAAAATCATTTGTTAAGAAAAGAAAAAACAAATAAGGACAAAAGTTATGATAAAAACAAAATGTGATAAAAACAAACAACCATCATGTAATACTGAAAATCACAGCTATGACAACAAGCATCATGGTCATATATATCACTGTACATAATGACCTTCCCCACATCATCAAAACTCAATAAACAATAGAAAGACATTGTGTGCAATAACAAAAATGTTAGAAGAGTCGCACATCACACAAAAGCGAAAGGCACTGAAAATTTCTCTTTCACTCAGACTGCACAATATAAGGCGCACTATCATTCTATATTACTAAAGCTAAAATTGTGTGACATTGTAAAACAAACACACACATATGTATATATATAAAAAGTTTAAAACAAAAAAAAAATCTGGCCTACTTCTCTGCTACGCTTTTAATTTTTCTTTTTTTAATAATTATGAAATATAATTAACAATTCTATTAGCAAATTTGTTAATGCATATGAATATATCTGTGAGTAAAAAATCAAACAAAATTTAAAAAAACAATAGGTGTGAGCATAAATAACTGACAGATGCGGGATAGGCAAGGGAAGGGGAAGAGAGCAAAGTACATGAGAGAAAAGGAAAGAAAAAGAAAAAAAAGAAAAGGAAAAGAAACACAAGGGGAAGAGATAAAACTAGTAAACAGTGCATCGAAGGAGGCGTGGAAAAGGACTTAGTTGAGAGGAAAGGGGGAGGAGGGATCATTCGTTACTGGATCAAAATATGAATATGTTGTCAAGTATTAATAACATAAAGATCTATGTGAGAGCTTTGTGAAAAAAGCTGCCAGTGAACCTTCACTTCTCTTAATCAGTGCAGGAACTAAATTCAACATCATTCTAGCGTAGTACCAAAGGACCTTTTTTTCCTTTTTTTAAATAAGGCAAACAACATTAGTCAGGGGACAGGACTTCATATAGTTGAATATCTTTGATTTCCCATTACAGTTTAAACAGGTTCATCATCTTTTATTCTCAACTCTGTTTTCTGCGACAAAATGATAACCAATGAAACCCTCTCTGGGTAATCCAATGTTATGCAGAACTTCATCTTTATCACAGACAATTCTTTTGCATCACAAAACAGACATTACAATGAATTAACATAATACAGCAAGTAATTACGACTAATCAATTTTGATAATAATTTGTCGGGAAGCAGGCCAGATTACTTACATCCCTCACCAGATTCAAGTCGTGATTGCAGGTCTCTCAGCTGCTTCTCCTTACGCATGTTCTCACGGGACATGTTCTCATACCGCTGCTTGAATTCCCGTACATCTCTGCAACGCATGGAATTTGTTACTCCTTTTGAATCTTTTATATTTTCTAAGTATATACAGATATATTGAGTCAATATACTCCTTTTCACTTCCATTTCTTCTTCTTTGGGAAGAGAGATCTCTCTTTCCATAAATAAGCATGCATAAAAATGTTTAGATAACATATGTAAATACACCAAATCCGCAGCGCATATCACAAATGTACTCTTACTTACTTTTGTGAATTGACCAGTTCTGCACGCACTTTGCTCAACTCTTCAGATATTACTTGTTTAGCCTGGATCTCTGAGTTCAGTGATGACTGCAAGTTCAGTAGCTCCATCTTGTCCAACTTCTGAGATCGACGATTTCGCCAGTTCTTCTCAGGAGGTGCAAGCATTGATGAGGAACCACCCACAACTCCAGACACCTTGAGAGACTCTAGCTCTTCTGTCATTCGTGTTGCAAGTGCTTGAAGATAGCCACGGGCATCTTTCTCATCACTTACCCTATAGCAGAATTAGGTTATTAGGTTTTATTTCCAATACATACACCTCAAGTTGATTTCCAATAGAACACAGTGTGAGTTAATAATACTGCTATTGGCATACTCCATCTGCCTAATGCCCCCCCCCCCCATTACCTCCATACACTATATAAGTATCAAAGAGTTTTTAAAAATGTTATAAATACATTTAAATACATATCATTCTATCTATATTACAATAATATAATTTCACGTGTTGATATAAACTCTACTAACATTATGTATTTAATATTTGACTGAAATACTATTAGCAAAAATTTGCCAAAAACAACTTAAAAATTTAGGCATATACTGCCACTGAGGGAAATGACACACTGGAGAGTTTGAATTTCACAGAAGGTAGAAATACTTTTAAGAAGAAAAATAAACATCAGAAATAGGAAAACTTCTTTGCAACTATCTCATCAAAAACACAAAACACAAAAGGAAGTCTATTCAATCATAAAACTGGCTTTATGAACCAGCACAACTAGGCCTCATTTACAGAAATTTACTATTCCTTGACTGCTTACCACTGAATGATTTCTGTAATCTGAGCCTCCCATTGCGCTATTGATTCTTTCTTGTTACGCAGATCTTCATACTCGTCTTCCAGAGCACGGCGTTCATTCTGCATTCTGCTTATGCTGTCAGTGAGCTGGGAGAATAGGAAAAAAGTGTTTATCAACCTTCCATCAGTTTATAACTACTTCATGAATGACTCAAAGTTTACATATGACAGACAGAATAAAATGTATAAGCAAATTTTATGCTCACCCGTTCCACATCTTCCAGGAGTTTCTTGTTGTCATCTAACATGACTGCCTTTTCTCTGTCATGCCTTCTCTTTACTTCCACAATGGCATCCTCTTGTTCCTCTGTTCGTTTCTCAAGCTCACTGCGTAGCTGTACCTTTAGTTAACACACTCACCTGTTAACATCACCAAAACTCAATGAATGTGTTAAATAAAGTCACTGTGTATACAAAAGCTTATACAGATTACACAAAGAAAAACACAAATTCTCCAAGATTCTCACCTCATTCTGCAGAGAACTCTTGGCAGACTCAGCCTCTGCCAGTTGGTCCCTTAGAGCAGCCATATCATGTGTGTGCCTCAGAGCCTGCTGTTGCGCTCTCTCCTCTTGGTCCACACACACACGCTCCAGGTCTGCTTTCAATCTGTTTGGGAAGTTTATATGAATAAATAAATAAATAAATATATATATATATATATATATATATATATATATATATATATATATATATATATATATATACTGAAGTAGAAGTAGAAGCAGCAGTGTGTATATATGTATGTACATATATTATATGTAAATGTAAATGTATATGATCAGTATATAGGTATATGTATATGTAAATTCATATATCTGTATGTATGTATGTATATATGTATATATGTATATATGTATATATGTATATATGTATATATGTATATATGCATATATGTATAAATATATGTATACATATATGCATAATCATGTGCATGAGTTATAAGTATAAGTACAAACATAAGTATAAGTTAAAGTATGTATATGCATATATACTTATATATATGTACAAGCATAGCTATAGGTATAAGTATATGTATATGTATGTATATGTATAAGTATATGTATATATATGTATAAATATATGTATGTATAATATATATGTATATGTATAAGTATAAGTATATGTATGTATATGTATATGTATGTATAAGTATATGTATATGTATGTATAAGTATATGTATATGTATGTATAAGTATATGTATATGTATGTATAGTATAAGTATATGTATATGTATATGTATGTATGTATAAGTATATGTATATGTATGTATAAGTATATGTATATGTATGTATAATCTGTATATAATAGTATATGTATATATGTATTTGTACGTGCACATTTGAATTTCCACTCCACTATCAGGTGGTAAACAAGACCACAAAAATGCAGATTACCTTGTTACTTCCTGCGAAGCTTCCAAAGAGTTGAGGGAAGGACTCCTGCCTTGGGGTCTCTGCTGCATCTTCTGCAATTCGCCCTCTATGCTGCGTGTGTATTCCTCTGATCTCTCGCGCAGTTTTCGCTCTTTACTCGCCTCAGCTTCTGCTTCCTCTGATCTCCCCTGGAATCGTGAAGTGAAAGAGATCAAAACAATGATAGCAATTTTCAATCTTTTTCCTTTCTAAATTATTTGACTTTTGTATTAACAATCATAATCATAATAACAGTGATGGTGAAAGTGATAATAATAGTCATAATCTTAAACATAATGAGAATCAAAATTATACCAATAAAATTATGATAATAAAACTATAATTAATAATGAAAATAATAAGAACAATAATAATAATAATTATTATAGTAATAATAACTAAAAAATCAGAATCATAATAAGAGTAATAATGATTATCATCATAATAATAATAGTAATAATAATTATCACCATCATTATCATTATCATCATTATTATCATCATCATTATCATCATCATTATCATCATTGCTATCATTATCATCATTGCTATCATTATCATCACTTCTATCACTGTCATTATTATTATTATCATCATTATTGTTATTACCATTATAATAATAATTATCTTTTCCATCATCTCTATTCTTACCCTATTCTTATTATTGTTATTAATATTGCAATTATCATATTTCTATCTCTGTAATTTTTTCATATTATAATTATTTTTAACATAACCATACCAATAAAAAACAACAAATAACAATAACAACCCAACAACAATAGCAATAAATAATAACAATAAAAACAACAATAACAATCATAGTAACAATAACAATAATGACTTATAAACACAACTAAGGGACACAAATGATATTCCGAACCTCAAGTTCGCGTCTTAATTTTTCTGCTCTTCGTAAGTCTTGTCTTAGGGTATCAATTTTCTGCATTGCAGTCTCTAGTTCTTCTTCCTTATCACGAACTTGACGGGACAATTTCTGCTTCTGATTTCGAAGCTCTGTCAACCTGGTAAGGAAAGCAATATAAATCAATTGTACTAATAACCAACGGAAAGTTATACAAATTTTTTTTTTTTAGAAATCTTACCATCAAAAAAAGAAAAAGAAAGAAAGAAAAAAAAAAGCTCTATAGAAAGTTATGCATTTAAAAAATATATAAAATCTTATAAAAAAAAAAAAAAAAGGAAAAATGTATCTAAAAAATACTTACTTGTCCGATACTTCGCTGTATTCTGACATGGCTAGCTTTCTTTGTGCTAGGGCATCTTGTAATTCTTTATTCTGTAAGGTTAATTTTTCTTGTATATCAGCCATTTCCTGCAAAGATCAGGTAAAGAAAATGCATTAATAGAGACCTATGATAGCAAATTACACTATGAACCTCAAATCAAATACTTATATTTTAAGTCTCAAAATATTTGTGTTCTAGTGTATCCTTTATTTTCCCTATCATTCAAAACCATCTTTTTGTTGTTTTCTGAAAGCAATGAAACAAGAATCTGTAAAAAAGGCAAAGTAGAAAAAATGCAGACACAAAAATAAGAAAAAGAAGACTATAAAAGCCAAAGAGAGAGAACAAAGCAGGAACACACATGAAAAAAAAAAAATGTGAGCTGAATGCCTTCCTATTGTTTTGCTAGTGTCTTCATGCAGATCAAACCAATTATGTCAGAACAACAAGAAAAGTAATTTTTTATCATTATTACAAATAATTAAACAAATGGTGAAATGTACGTGAGTACAGACAGGGAACATTAGAGCAATGGTCTAACAGTGTAAGAAAGCCATGTGAAAAAACTGGGGGAAAATTAAACAATGTTTAAGCAGTTTACCAAGTAACAAAAGACCTATTTCATATAAAAAATCACAAGGTCTAATAAAACAGTTCTCACAAACTCACACATAAAGCATGTTAATAATTCCGCAGAGACATACTTATGCAAGCCATGACTATGTTATTGCTTGCCAAAATAATTCAGAGAATAAATAGATATGCAATAATGTAGTATAAACAAATGTTCATCTACCAAGTATGCCAACTAATAGGAAGTTTAAAGAAAGTGTAGCTAGTGAATGTTCACTCTATATGTATTTTTCCAGATTATACTGACCTGGTAGTTGAAAAAAAGGTGTTTGCAAGTAAATTAAATTGTAATGATGACTGCAATTCAAACCTTCACACACATACAAAGTACAGTTGGAAAGTCCATTTAATCCTAACAATAGGAACATCCATATTCAACATGGAGCAGCCTAACAAAGCCATATATTACAATTCAAATAAATTTCACACTATCTCATATCAACAGAAGATAAAATTGCATAAACAAATACATACATCATTAGGTTATTGGATGATCTGGAGAAACAATCAACAATTTAAAAAATGCACAGCTTTCCTACCATAATCCACATGACAAACATGACTTTCACTCCTCCCTTCCCAAAACTGATATAAAAATTTCCATATTGCTATGCTGAAGAAATAAAGAGATAATAATGCAAACCTGAAGATAATTTCTTAAACAAGGGGACAATTAAGTAACAATGTGGCAGTTAGTTACAAATTATGAGGCATTTATAAAAAGTTATTATAGTCCACACTATCAGTGACTAATATTAGGGTATTAGGAGGGAGAGGGCTTATAGCAATTTTGCTGAATGAATACTTACTCTATTCAAATTACTAAAGTCTAATTCCTAAAGATCTTCAGAAAACCAAAGAGGAGAAAGAAAAGAATGATTTTGTTACTTCTATGAATTGATTACTTTTTTTTACTACAGTGTTACAAATTCAGTCTAAAAAACTCCTCACCACAAAACTCCACACACCAAACTCAGTGAAATTTTGCTTTCAGTCAATATAAATCAAAATCATTCAAAATCCAATATCCAATACCTTACTATACTAGGCTAAACCACTAATGACTAAATACAATAAACTAATAACCAACACTCATCCTTTTTTTTATATTTTGTCACAGGAAAAAAGGTAAGAATGCTAATTGCGTTCCAAAACATGAACAAATTTAGCTCAGAACTAAAAGAGATTAGACTTAAAATTACTGCTTTGGCTTTAGATACAGGAGGACAGAACACAAAAGGCCCTCTAGTTACATGGTATCAATGGTAAAGGTTCAGATCTATATAGCATGATAGAAGACATGATAAGACATATACTAAATACCATTCAAGTAACTACAAGATATAAAAAAAAAACATCAAAAATGCAAAAAAAATGATATGCCACTCACTCTTCCAAGGTTTTCCTTCTCCTGGGAAACAGACTTCATTTGACGCTCCAATTCTTTGATCTTTCCATCTGTTTCACTATCTTTATCTGTTAATCTTTTGATACTTGACAGTTCACTTGATAACTCTGTTGAAGAAGAAAAATGTACTTGTATATACCATATCTATTACCATTTATGAAATCATCTAACAATACATGGACAATACAAAATCAAAATTTATCATCCTATCAATTTATTATAAACAAACTTTTCACAAATTCCCTATAAGATGGATCACACATAATGTAACCCCTTAATTCTAGTAAAAAAAATAAACACCAACCTTTATTCTGCTTGGTGAGTGCCTGCACTTGATCCACCAATCTTTTAACCTCTTCATTTGAAGACGAACCCATACTTCCATCTGTTCTGTCTGAAGTATCCTTCATTAACTCTCTACTTTCTGCCTCAACAGATTTTAGACGCCTTTCATACGATATCAGATCAGATGCAGAGCCAACAGTTACAGATGTGGTAACAGAGAGGGTCAGTAAACAACCCTTGTCACTGATTTGGCTGCACAGAGTGGAAAAAAAGTTGTTAAGCACATATATCATGTTACATCATGTATAATTTCTATATGAATTTCTGTGAAAATAACTCACTCTGGTCTAAGAAGACTTTGTAATGTATTTCTTCTGCTACGAGTGCATTACCTAACATTAAATTGAAATAAAAAAATTTACTTACTATTCTCTTTGAACTAATACAGTGTACCATATCTTTACATAATAGAAGCCATACCATTGAGATACTTTCTAGCACATAAATTCTGACCAATCAGTTCATTATTTCGCATTACTAATATTTCATGAAAACTCACCTTCCCTGAGTAAATGAAAAACCAACGAAAGGTAAATGAAGAGCACTAAAAGCCGGATTCGCTGGGGGTGGGCAAGCGTCTTGGCTTCTTGCTTCCGAGTCATCAACATCAAAATTGCTCGTGTCAGTAGGACTGGAGACTTCAGGGATGTAGGGAGCCATACTGTCCCTTAGGGTATCCCAGTCCACTCCTGCGAACCAGGGATGATTCTGCCCGGGGGAACAAGAGGATTATGAGGTCTAATCTGAGACTGTAAACAATTGGATCTTCTCCATCAGCTTATATTGTAGACAAATGCAAGATAAACAGAGATAGTAAAAAATGAGCAGTTTATCTTGTCTCCTTTATATATTCTCTTATGTTTCAAAAAGCTAAGTAATGTATATATCTAAATGTAAACACAAACCTTAAAGTCGTTAATGCCATTTTTGCCTAATCTGTACTCTGAAGCACAAATAAGTTGTCTCATTAGGTCTTTGGCCTCATCAGAGACATCATAACCCAGGTCTGTTGGGAAGTCGAAGCAATTCTGTTGGGGGTAGAGAATGCACAGGCATATTAGGTGAAGGTCAACACATATTCTCTTACTTACAGGATCTTCACTAACTGAAAAAGAGAGAAACAGGAATAGGAGGAGGGCAGAGGAGGAGGAGAAGGAGGAGGAGGAAGGGAAAGGAAAAGGAGGGGAATGGAAAGGAAAAAAGAGGGAGGAGTAGGAGGAGGAAGGAGGAGAGGAGGAGGGAGGAGGAGGAGGAGGCAGGAGGAGGAGGAGGAGGAGAGGAGGAGGAGGAGGAGGAGGAAGGAAAGGAGGAGGGAGGGGGAAGAGAAAGTAAGAGGAGGGGAAGGGAAAGGAAAAGAAGAGGGGGAGGAGGAGGAGGGGAGGAATGGGATGGAGGAGGGGAAGGAGGAATGGACTTGAGGAGGAAGGGAAGAGAAGGAGGAGGAATGGATGAGGAAGAGGAGGAAGGGAGGAGGGAGGAGAAGAAGAGATGAGGAGGAGAGGAGGAAGAGGAGGAGGAGGAGGAGGAGGAGGAGGAAGGGATGAGATGGAGAAATTATGATGATGATGATGATGATGATGGATGAGATGATGATGATGAGATGATGATGATAGATGATGTGGACGATGATGACGATGAGGACGATGATGAGACGATGATGGACGATGATGGACGATGATGGACGATGATAATATGATGATGATTGATGATTGATGATTGATGATGATGATGATGATGATGATGATGATGATGATGATGATGATGATGATGATGATGATGATGATGATGATAAGATGATAATGATGATGGAAGAGGAGGAGGAGAGGTGGAAGGGAGGAGGAAAGGAAGGAGGAGAGGGAGGAAGAGGAGGAGGAGGGAGGAAGAGTAGGAGGAGGGAGGTAGAGTAGGAGGAGGGAGGTAGAGTAGGAGGAGGAGAAGAAGAGAAGGAAAACCAGGAGGAGGAGGAGGAAGAGGTGGAGGAAAGGAAGGAGGGGAGGAAAGGAAGGAGGGAGAGGAGGGAGGAAAAGAGGAGGAAGAGGAAGAGGAGAGGAGGAGGTGAATGAAAAGAAAGGAAGAAGAGAAGGAAAAGCAGGAGGAGGAGGAAGGAAGATGAGGAGGAAGGAAGAGGAGGAGGGAGGAGGAAGATGAGGAAAGGCAGGAGAAGAGAGAGGAGGAGGGAAGAAGAGGAGGAGGGGAGGAGAGGAGGGAGGGAAGAGTAGGAGGAGAAGAAGGAAGAAAACCAAGGAGGAGGAGGAGGAAGAGGTGGAGTTAAGGAAGGAGGGGAGGAGGGAGGAAGAGGAGGAAAGAAGGAGGAAGGAGGAGGAGGGGAGGACAGGGGAGGAGGAGAAGGAGGAAGAGGGAGGACAGAGGAGGAGGAGGAGGAGGGGGGAGGAGAGGAGGAGAGGAGGAAGAGGAGAGGAGGGAGGAGGAGGAGGATAGGAGGACGGAGAGGAAGGAGGAAGGAAGGAGGAGGACTAGAGGAAGGATAGGACTAGGAAAGAGGACTAGGAAGGAGGAGGGGAAAGAGGAGGACTAGGAGGACTAGGAGGAAGAGGACTAGGACTAGAAAGAGGAAAAAGAGGACCAGGAAATGAGAGAAGAGGAAGAAGGAGGAAGGAGGAGGAAGAGGAGGAAGAGGAGGAGGAGGAGGAGAGAGGAGGGAGAGGGGACAAAAGAGAGAGGAAGGAGAAAGAAGAGGAGAAGAAGGAAGAAGAAGGAAAGGAGAAGAGGAGAAGAAGAGAGAGGAAAAGAGGAGGAAGAAGGAAAAGGAGAAGGAGGAAGGAGAAGGAGAAGGAGAAGGAGCGAAGGAGAAGGAGAGAAGGAGAAGGAGAGAAGGGGAGAAGGAGAAAGGAGAAGGAGAAGGAGAAAGGGAAAGGAGAAGGAGAAGGAAGGAGAAGGAGAGAAGGAGAAAGGAGAAGGAGAAGGAAGGAGAAGGAGAGAAGGAGAGGAGAGAAAGGAGAAGGAGAAGGAAGAAGGAGAGAGGAGAAGGAGAAGGAGAAGAGGAGAAGGAGAAGAAGGAGAAGGAGAAGGAGAGAGGAGAAGGAGAAGGGAAAGGAGAAGGAGAAGGAGAAGGAGAAGGAGAAGAGAAGGAGAGAAGGAAGGAGAAGGAAAGAAGGAGAAGGGAGAGGAGAAGGAGAAGGAGAAGAGAAGGAGAAGGAGAAGGAGAAGAAGAGAAGAAAGGAGAAGGAGAGAGGAGAGGAGGAGAAGGAGGAGAAGGAGAAGAGGAGGAAGGAGAAGGAGAAGGAGAAGGAGGAGAAGGAGAAGGAGAAGGAGAAGGAGAAGGAGAAAGGAGGGAGAAGGAGAAGGAGAAGGAGAAAGGAGAAGGAGAAGAAGGAGAAGGAGAAGGAAAGGAGAAGGAGAAGGAGAAGGAGAGAAAGGAGAAAGAAGGAGAAGGAGAAGGAGAAGGAGAGAGAAAGGAGAAGGAGAAGGAGAAGGAGAAGGAGGAGAAGGAGAAGGAGAAGGAGAAGGAGAAAGGAGAAGGAGAAGGAAGAAAGGAGAAGGAGAAGGAGAAGGAAGAAAGGAGAAAAGGAGAACGGAGAGAAGGAGAAGGAAAAAGGAGAAGGGAGAAGGAGAAGGAGAAGGAGAAGGAGAAGGAGAAGGAGAAGGAGAAGGAGAAGGAGAAGGAGAAGAAGGAGAAGGAGAAGGAGAAGGAGAAGGAGAAGGAGAAGGAGAAGGAGAAGGAGAAAGGAGAAGAACAGGAGAAGGAGAAAGGAGAAGAGAGAAGGAGGAGAAGGAGAAGGAGAGAAGAGGAAGAGAGAAGGAAGAAGGGGAGACACAGGGAAGAGAAAAGGAGAAGGAGAAGGAGAAGAAGGAGGAAGGGAAGGAGAAGGAGGAGGAGAAGGAGAAATGGAGAAAGGCGGAAGGAGAAAGGAGAAGAAGGAGAAGGAGAAGGGAGAAGGAGAAAAGGAGAAGACGGGAGAGGAATGGGAGAATAGGAAAGATCAATAAACAAGAAAAGCAGAGCTTCACTGCTAATACAACACACAAACCAAAAAGAATTTTCACCCTGCATGTCAAAACCATCCCAGAAATTGAAAACCTAGCATTTCCACTCCCTCTCATTACCTCACACAAATGACAACCTGAGCAACAGACACTTAACATTCGCCTCGATGGCAGGTGGATAATGCTAAAACAAAGATGGAAATGCCAATGTAGACATAAAAGAGGAGGTAGTTAAACGCAAGATGGAAGGTGTCGCACAAAGGTGGTCATTCTATTTTTGTAACATCCCACTGCCAACACTACCTGCCCATGGCTGCCAATTTCCTTTGCCAGAGATTTCATAATTCCTAATAATTGGCTACTCATACTATAGAGGGGAAAACATCTGCGTAATTTGTTGATTACCATTATGCACAGATAATACTCTGGAACATGCTCCCCTACACTCTCTGCAAAGGTGGTAATGAATCCATAACCATCATTTGATACGGCAACCCACATAGCTAAAAATCATTCATGTAACAGCACAAAAAGAGTGGGAAACAGACACAAGTGCATGAGGTTTTAGAGGTTTAAGAGGCATAAGAAGGGAAGGGAAGGAAGGGAAGGGAAGGGAAGGGAAGGGAAGGGAAGGAAGGGAAGGGAAGGGAATGGGAAGGGAAGGGAGGGAAGGGAAGGAAGGGAGGGAAGGAGAAGGGAAGGAGAAGGGAAGGGAAGGGAAGAGGAAGAGAAAGGGAAGGGAAGAAGAGGGAAAAGGGAAGGGTAAGGGAAGCGGAAAGGGAGAGGGAAGCGGAGAAGGAAAGGGAAGGGGTAGGGAAGGGAGACGGGAAAGAAGGAAGGTGAGAAGAAGTTGGAAGAGGAGGAGAGAAGGGAAGGGAAGGGAAGGAAGATTGAAGGGAAGGGAAGGAAGAGGAGAAAAGGATGGAAGGAAGGGAAAGAGGAAGGAAGGGG